TGCTTGCATTAAGAAATGATGTAACTTTACCCTTCTATCCTTATTTAATGTTTTCTTAAGTCAACTTTATAATAAATGATGAATACATTTTCAAGATTAATTAACTACTCTATCAAAGTTATAATAGGCAAAATATGGTAATTTATGCAAAAAAATTTATAAAATGGCAAGTATTGTGGTCCAACTATTTATAGAAAAGAATGTCATATAAAAGGGGACAGAGCTGGGAGCACATTATTAAGAAAGAATATTATTTTATAATTTATTTTAGATAAAACATGATGAAAACTTAAATATAAATATTATACTAATTTCTTTAACAAATTAAATTAAACTTTTATATTAAACAATCAGACACTTATTGCATTACTTAAGATACATCTTCCCTAATATAACCTTTTCAACATTATTTTTCACATTTCTTTTTTCTTCATTCTCTAGCGGATGTAAACCGCACTAGAAAAGTTCTTTTTTTTTTTTGTTACTATTATTTCTTGTACCTCGATTATTATACTATTTTACTGTGCTTTCCATTCTGTTACTATCTACTATTTTTTTTATTATCTGTTGTTTCTTGTAGTCTTTTTCTTTTAGACTATTTTTTCTTGAGCCAAATATCTCTTAAAGACAACCTCTCTACTTCTGAGGTAGGAATAAGATTCACGTACACTCTATTTTCACCTAACTCTATTTTATAAACCTACACTAAATATGTTATAATGTAGTAATCAATAAGAAATTTATTATTAAAAATCTATATTTGAATCCATCACTTTATTACTATTATAACTTTTTAAAAAAATGAATTAGCTACGAAATTATTTCTAATTTATCAGTAAATATTCTGTAACAAATAAGATTTTTCTTTATCACTTGTCACTATTCTCTTGTCAAATAAATTTTTAGTATTCAACAATAAATTTTATTTGTCGCTAATTTCTATTATTTTTATATATAGTATTAATACACCTATTTTTCTTTCAGTTAATATTTCGATGTCCTTACGTATGGCCCATTGAGGTTCCAATTTATTCCCATCATCACCTCAAGAAAACATTTTAAAATTAAATTCACATGTTATTTGATTCTTGTATCTAACGTTATCTATTTTTCTAAATAAAGGGTTAGTTGAGTTAAATTATTGTACTAACGTTTTCAATGTCTACCCAAATAAAGTCTTAGAATACCTAATTAATAAGTAAAAATATTATTTTATAGTTTATTTTAGATAAAACATTATGTGAGACGATCATACACTTAGTTGCAGTGGCGGAGTCATGATTTTAAATAAAGGGTTCAAAATTTGAAGAAAGAAACACACGAACTAGTTGAATGAGGTTCGACATCTACTATATATACCTAAAAAGTAATTTTAACCATATATAAATAATAATATTTTCCATCAAAAGGGTTTCCCAACCCCTGACAATATGCTGGCTCCGCCTCTGCTTGGTTGCATTATTGAAAATATATCTTCCCCAATATATATATCCTTTTCAACATTATTTTTCACATGTTCTTTTTCTTCATTTATCTTTTTGAAGATCCAATTCAGCTTAAGGTGTAATACTTGAAATTTAGCGATAACTTTTATTTGTCGCTATTTACAGGTTTTTATGCATAATAATTAAGGAGTTCACTTATTTTTCTTTGAGTTGATCCTTCGATAAATACATAAATTGGCATGTCTTCATTAGTGGCGGAGCAAGAATATTAATTAAGGTGTGTTAAAATATAAAGAAGTAAAATCATGTAAAAGTTAAGAAGTGTTCATATGTAATATATATGACAAAAAATATTTTTATTTTAACTAATACACAATATAATTTTCTGACGATGGAGTATCGATCACCATCCCACAACTATAAGTGGCTCTACCCACCACTGATCCTCACATATGGCCCATTGAGGTCTCATTAATCCCTAATTCCCTATCATGTAAAGTTTTCAAAGTTTGTCCAAATAAAGTGTAGAATAAATAATCAAGTAACCTTATTTTTTTATAGTTTGTTTTAGATAAAACCATGATGAAAACATAATCAAATAAATATAAATAATATACTAATTAATTTCTTTTATTTTCTTTTTAGATCTCTAGGATAACACTCCACTGTTATAACCTCTGTCACAACCTCACCAACAAGGTTGTGGTGGAGTGGTAAGTACTCCTTCATCCTAAACCAAAAGGTCTCGGGTTTGAGTCCCCTTGGGTATGGAGGCGCCTTTGTTAGGGAGCGTTTTACCTCCACCCTTTCCCCCTCCAATGTGGGACATCCCGGAGTGAATTCGGATTTAATAGGGCTCTAATGTGGATACCGAACACCGGATGGGAAACCAAAAAAATAAACTTTTGTCACACCATTGGTCCTTCAGATAGTCACTGTGTAGTAACAGCCTACAAACCACATAAGGGATGTAAACCACACTAGGCTAATTTTATGCGATTAGCTTGATTCAAAAGATATTAAAAGAGAATTAATCCCGAATCATCCGTATGAATGACAACCATCCAAATCAACTGAGTCATGACAAAGAACAATATAACAAATCAAATGAAGCTTAATTTTACACGAGAGTATCACATACTTTATAAGTAACATTGTGTAGTTCTTTTACAGCTAAGCATTGAAACTAGTGAAAGCAACCAGACTTATGATTTTTTCTTTGTCTTGTTGTAATTATTAAAACAAGAAATGACCTAAAAAATACTGTTGGTATCACGTTCACATATTTAATGCCCCGTGACAAAAATAGATTATACTTGACTTTTGACTTTGTTAATGAGTTATTGATCCTCCCACCTTAATTATAGTACGATTTCCCATTTCCCTTTTTTCTTCACCTACCTTAATTTATTTGTCAAATTTGAATCTGATATACTTATTAGAAAACAATAACAGACATGATCACTATTTTAGCATGTTACCCCTATTAATTGATATTTAGTACTATGTTTTAAAAATATCTTAAATATACCAATTTAAAAAAGTTCTTGTTATTTTTTGTTATTATTATTTCTTGTATCTCGATTATTATATTATTTTACTGTACTTTCCATTCTGTTATTATCTACTAATTTTTTTATTATCTGTTGTTTCTTGTAGTTTTTTTCTTTTAGGCTATTTTTTCTTAAGCCAAATATCTATCAAACACAGCTTCTCTACTTCTGAGGTAGGAATAACATTCACGTACATTCTATTTTCGCCTAACTCTATTTTATAAACCTACACTAAATATGTTATAATGTAGTAATCAATAAGAGATTTATTATTAAAATCTTTATTTGAATCCATCACTTTACTACTATTATAACTTTAAAATATGAATTAGCTACGAAATTATTTCTAATTTATCAGTAAATATTCTGTAACAAACAAGATTTTTTTTTAATCACTGGTCACTATTCTCTTGTCAAAATAAACTTTTACTATTCAACAATAAATTTTATTTTTCGCTAATTTCTATTTATTTTTTTATACATAGTATTGAGGAGCTTGAGTTGGCCTAAATAAATGAACTGAACTAATAAATACACCTATATTTCTTTGAGCTAATATCTCGATGTCCTTACGTATGGCCCATTAAGGTCCCAATTTATTCCCTATAACCTCAAAACAGCTTTTCTGATATATAAATATATTTAAAAAATATTTTTATTATAACTAAAATGTAATTTTTCGATGAAAAAATATCGATCAACATCAAAATCCATATCACCTCAAAATCCTTTTAAATAAAGGGTCAGTTCAGTTGAATTATTGTACTAATACTACCTGATTTTTAGCGACAATTAATTAACGGAATAGCTCAATGGTCGCTAAATATGTATTTCTAGCAGCAATTAACACTCTTTGTATATGTCCCTTAAGCATTTAGGGACATTGAATCTAATGATACTTAACTAATGCCGTTAAAGACTTTAACACTCTTTATTAATGTGTCTATTTATTGCCGCTAAAAAATATTTTTGTTATAGTGTAATGTTTTCAAAGTTTGTCCAAATAAAGTGTTGATTAAATAATCAAGTAAACTTTTTTAAAAAAATTTTGTATTAGATAAAGCATGATGAAAACATAATTAAATAAATATAAATAATATAGTAATTAATTTCTTTTCTTTCTAGGACTTGTATAACTCTCAGTTGTTATAACCTTTGTTACATGACCCTTTGTCTTTCAGATAGTCACTCTGTGGTAATAGCCTATAAATATTATGATGTAAACCGTACTAGACAAGTTCTATGTAACATGTTCGACTTAGAAAACATTGAGGGGAAGTCGATCCCGAATTATCCGTGTGCTGGACTACCCTCCAAATCAACTGAGTCATCCCGAAGGATCATCTAACAAATTAAATTAAGCTTTTATACGACACTATCACATACATTATAGCAGTGTATTTCTTTTACAGCTAAGTATTGAAACATCTTTTTAGTGAAATCGGCAAGACTTGTGATTTTTTTCTTTGTTTTCTTGTTATTAAAGCAAGAATTTACATGTGAAATATATTGACCTTGGCTTTTATCAATATATTGTAACACTTTGATCTTGACAAATTGAATATTTATGTTCATCAAAATCTTCAAGTTGTTGTACCATAGAATGAGTAATGGAAAAGTTGTTTTTGGGATAAAATAGAAGAAACTGTAAACAAAACTTGCATTCTCACTTGTATTTAAGTAGAGAGCGGAGAATCTTAGTTAGCTTAGTTAGTTGAGTATACAAATTTTCACTTTGTTAGTGAGTGATTGATGATACTCCAACTTTTCACTTTGTTAGTGAGTGATTGATGATACTCCAACTTTTCACTTTGTTAGTGAGTGATTGATGATACTCCAACTTTTCACTTTGTTAGTGAGTGATTGATGATACTCCAACCTTGTAATACGCTTTTCCGTTTCTCTTTTTTCGTCACCTACCCTTATTTGTCAAATTTGGATATGATACACTCAGTAAAATAAAATAATTTGACACGATATTTTAATTAGCATATTATCCCTATTAATTGATATTTAGTACTAAATCTTGAAAATGATTTGGAGAAAAAAGTAATTAACACTAAAGGTAAATCATGGAAAAATAATTATTTACTCTTGAAATGTGAAAAATGACAAGTGAAAGTGAACTGATCTAGGGAGTATATTCTTTCCAATTCAATTTGTTTGTCATATTTTTACTTGATACAAAGTTTAAATAAATTATTTTTTTGAATCTTGTGATCTTAAATAAGTTACTAATAAATAAAAAAGTCTTTTTCTTTTTCTTTTTTGAAACGAATAAAAATGAAAAGTAGCACATACAAATTGAAACCGAGAGAGTACCTAATGACTTAGACAACCTGTTCATATAATATATAATAATTATACATAAATTCAAACCAAAAATATTATAATAATTGATGAGAGAATGTCACATATTAATTAAAAAAAACTCAAATATGCTATCAAGTTTTGAAAAAAAACTTATCTATGTCATTTGTTAAGAGTTTAGCTTATCTATGCTATATTTGTTTGAGAAACGGTTCATTCATGTCATTATTTGTCAATTGAAATAGCATAGAGGAGCCAAACATTTAACATATGACATATATGAACCTTTTCTCAAAGTTCAAGGACATGTTTGTGCCTTCTTCCCTTTAAAAAAATAATTCAATAAATGACGTGACTGAAAATCATAATTGTCCACATGTCAAAAATGGTTTTTCATAATTGACCACGTGTAAAAAATAGTTTTGTAAAATGGAATTGGTTTAAGTTAACAAATACTGTCATAAATGAGTCTTTTTTTCAAACGTAAATGATATAGATGAAGCAAATTTTTAACAGATAACATAAATGAGCCTCTTCTCAAACTTTAATGATGTATATGAGTCTTTTCTCTATTAATAATAATAATTAATATTATATCTGATATCAAATTTTAAATATTATATTAGAAAAATATACTAGTACTTATTAACATGGATAATAAACTAGATGCCTAAAATTAAATGATGAAGAGAGAAATGAAATGACAAAATTCAAGTAGAAAAATATAGTCTAACAATAATCGAAGCTAATTTATTTTAAAATTTTAGAATTTGTTTCCTTTGACTTCCTTGTTTTCCCATTGCCTTTTCAAGAGCTATATGAAAATCTTTAAAAGGTACCATATCCATCCTGTAATAAATTTAAAAAAAATAATCAATATTGCTACATTGTTCATTTTAAATTCAAAATAACTTCTTTTTTTTAGTAAAATTATATTTAAATTCATAAAGAATTACAAAATTAATTGATCGAGAGAGTAAGAAATTGTACTCATATTGCAATATCCCAGCACGAACGAGGGCCAATAGATGATCAATCGAACACCTATATTGTGCTTCATCTAAATTCTTTTCTTGTAACAGGTATCCTTTCAAGGAAATATCCTTTAAAAAAAAAGATAATTCAATATATAACAACATATTTAGTGATCTACAAATGGTCAAGTTTGAAATAAATAAA